ACTTTTGATCTGAAATGAATTAAATTGTTTGCAATATAATGTTGATATGAGTTATAATAGTTATTTTAAACTAAAATATGGCAAATTTATTTCTAATTTACCGTATTTTTTCTGCATTTTTTAGCTTCGATAAGTTCGATTCTAAGGTAAAATAATATTGGTTTTACAATGATATGTGTTTGGAAACACGATCACTTTTTCCTCTGGACCTCGAGAAGGTCAGAAGTTAAAAAACACAATTTAAACTCCAAACCCGGGAAAACTCGAGAAAAGTGTCAACTTTGACTTACAACAACTTGGCAAAAAACAGTCGAGTCTAGTTAAAATATTTATTGAATATTTATTAGGCATGCTCTTATCCACAAATCGTCTCAAATTTAAAATTCGACCGCCCTGTAGGCACCTCCCCACCCCCCCCCCCTCCACAGGAGTTGTCATTTTTTTCAAGTTATTATTTTATTTACCCATTTTTTTTGTTTATTGATACAAAATCAAGTAAACTTTGATCAGCATTATAATATTTTAGTAAGTAGATTTTTTTCAATACTATTTTATAAAAGTCTTTATACTGTTTCAGTAATATAATAATATTTCAATCATAAGACTCGATCTATGCGCTACTTACATTATATTCTACAGCGTATGTTAATGTTTTATTTTTCGGATTTTAGCCAGTAAACAACGGTAAACCGATTTGTATACACATATGCCTTTGTTTTTTAACTACGGAAAAGCGATGTTGGTCGAAACATCATGCGTTTGAACAACCATGCCTTTTTACTATTTTTATGTATTGTAAAAAGAAAAGAAAAAGTTATCGCCTGACAGACGGAACGGGTAACATGGTAGAGTGTAAACGATTTCGCATTTTGTGTGAAGTAAGCAACGACGTTCACCTGCGAACGCTATATTCTTGACTAGCACAGTTGCCGCCCCCCTCCTCTTTGTGTCTTAAAAACACATTGTCAATACAATAATATAACCGTGCCGGTGCCTGGTCGTACGTAATGCCATTATATTCTCGCACCTTTATCTGTTGTCCGTGTTCGAAACTCATCAACGACCGTACTTTGGGTACTACGCTTATTATACTTGTGTGTACACATTTTTTTTTTTAAACACCGACAGCTGTTAGCAGCTTCAACGCAATGCCGAGCATAACAAACGGGAGGGTTATTATTATTTGTCGGCGGCGCGTTTAACGGAAAACGGATTTTTCGCCACCTGGCACACGCTTTACAATACGATCGGTCGATACAGCTAAACGCCGAACGAAACTAATTCTATCAATCTGCCAATAGCACGAAATCCACAGAAAGGTGTTTTCAAAACTAGAGCGTTTTATTCGTCTTGCGTGTGGCACTGCGAAACCACTGTTTATCGTGGGGTTATATACTAAACCACCTTTCCATATTACCCGTAACTATTCTAAATCTCGAAACTGTAAGATAATCTCTAATAACCACCCCTATCGTCGGTACACCGTCATAACTTTTATATTTCTACTTTTGACCTACATACAATTATTAGATATCACTGTGCCTCCGTAATTTATTATAAACAATTATTTAGTCAAATGATTTACCAAAATTTAAGAGCTACATGCGTAAGTTATTCGAAAACCCTTTAAAGCTAATCAGGTTAATATTAGTTTTCATTTGTTTTTGAACAAATGCACTAAGTCGTAATATAATAATTATAAATTTGTTTAGTATGTCACATTAATAATATTGTATTTGAAAAAAAAAGGGGTGAACTAAAATGTCACAAATGGTTTTGCGTTTAACCGCAATAACAATATTTAAAATAAACGAGTTTTAAAAAACTGGCCCCTCCACCAAATAAAAAATTATAAACTACACCCAAGAGATTTGTAACAGTTCATTTGGTTTGATATATTATTATTACATTTTAGGTAAATCAAGGTGATGTAATATATACGGGTTTTTAATTCTTGTTTAAGTGTGCATATTTTGTCAAAAAGAATAAGCTACTTTTTAGTATTTTTATCCTAATGGTAAACCAGTATGTAATGCAAGTACTTATACGTTCTGATAGAAGCAATTCCTTCGTGATGCTAAATTGCATAACCGAGACGCCGTGTTGGAGTTCTAAATAGTCCATATATAGTCCTCTACGTTGTATTTAATTAATATTTTAAGTTGTTTTAAAAAATAAAATTGATTAGTGTTTGTATAAAGTACACATGTTATTCATTTCGAAATGAAAAAAAATGGTTAAATATAATTTTTTTTTTTTTTACATTATCATGTATTATACTATACACATTTAGTGAACAATAACCAATGGCCCTAGATGAAATAAAAGTTAGACACAAAAAAGAATACATTCAATTATCATAATCTCATGAGCAAATCATACATTGTCCTTCTGCAAGGATATTCTATTGTGTTGCCTGAGAAAACATTAAGAGTACACAACAATTGAATCCTTAGATTGCGTTACAACGATATTTCTCGTCGGAAACACATTAAAAACGGCTCAGTAACCGTTTCGGGGGTTCTCATTATTATAAACCGGCACGTGATTTCCGTTAAAATATGGTTCAATTATTTAGCTTTGCCGCAGATAAGGAAAGTATCCGTTTCTATCAGTCTGTGTATACATTTCACGACCCTCCAGCACTTAAGATGGAATCTCGAATTCTTTTCATGTTTCAAGCACGTCCGAAATTATATTAAAAACGTAATTCTCAAGTAAGAACGATTTTCATTAATGGATCCTAGGTAAAATGATTATCGAAGTAGTCAGTTCTCTTAACTTTTTGGAACAAACAAAAAACTGACGATACTATGAAATAAAACAACAGCTGTAATATAAATTTATAATTTTACAATGATAGAAATAGTGTTTCTTTATTTTAATTCGTGAAATGTATTATTGCTCATGTAAAATCTCACAAATAAAAAAAACCAGTACAGTGGAGTCAGGACATAATGGGGACGAAGCATATTGAAGTGGATGTAGTCCACAAGGCTATAGAAATTATTATAGCTTAGAATGATTTTACTAGATGACATCGCTTCGATACAAATCAATGATGGTATAAACATTAAATAAAGATAAAAATGTAAGGCAAAAAACAGTTAAGCCTTATCATCAAAACTTATATAAATTTTTAAAAAAAACTGTTTCAGAATACATTTTTTTACTCGGAAATTATATTCAAGTAAACATAAGATATAGGTACATAAGATAACGCTGTGTGAATATACGTGTTTATTTACAAAACTGTTTATTGGTAATTTTGTTTGCCTCCACGATTTTCTTGGTAATACAAGGTACTTTTTTTAAGTGATCCACTCAATATCTCAGAGGATTTAATTAATTAATTAATTTTTTTCCGTAGTCTTTTTATACAGCGTAATCTCAAATGCTTACAAACTTTTTTGTTTTAGACCCCCTCTTAAATTAATTATTATTTTGATATCAACTTTTTAAACGTAAATGGTGATGTATATATTTTATCAACTATTTAAATTAACAATAACTTACTAGAAATTTTGACTGGTCAGTAACCAGTTTTGAGTCTTTACTTTTAAAATTATTACAGTTTAAAAGTTATAACTGAACATCGACAGTCAACATTTTTAGTAAATTAATCTTTATTTTAAACTTTGATTAAATATTTATGTTACCATTTAGGTTTTAAAAGTTCATATAAAAATAATTAATTTGGGAGTGGGTTGAAAACAAAATGTGAAAAATTGAGATCACGTTGTGTAAAAACACTATAAAAAGTAAAAAATGTAATTACCAATTGAATCCTGCAAGCTATTGAGTGGATCACTTTAAAAATCACCCTGATTCCAACTCTATATAAATTAAAACAATTGTTTAAAATAAAGATAAAACGTAAAAACGATTACAAAAAATAAATCATTTTCGGAAATTGTCGAATATTCCTTCTGGGTTTTTTGCTGTGTGTATGTATGCTGCCTATATATATATGATGATATATTTATATATATAAACGTCATGTGTGAGTTCTTGTGTAAAAATAAAGAGAAAACCTTGTCCGTTTGTCGTCAGACGGCGGTAGAGATGTCGTTTTAAAGTGATTTATACTTTTCGCCCAGGGAAAAAAGGCATTCGACCCTAGGGGAAATTGGCCGTCTGAATATGATGGGCAAATATAAAAACGTTGTCAACGAATTACTTATTTGCTGACAAGTCTTCGTGACAATAATCTTTATTGGGTCACGAGCGGATTTCATATCAATTGAACGTCATTGCCGCAAACCCATTTCAATGACAACATGTAATTTTCTTATTTTGCTCTCCTCGACGGCTCAGACCAACGGTTTACACGGATATACACAGACCGAATAGGATCCTTCGGATAGACGGTCTCATCGAGGGTTTTATGTTTTCGTCTCGAGCTGGACGAAATGTAGGTTCAACGTACTGTACAGTATAGTATAGTTGAGCAAACCAAACTGACCCAGTGGTTTTGCTAAAAAAAAACAAGATACCACTTTAGCGGCGGCGGCCTATTTAGGCCGCAGTATATTTATACTGCTCGTAAATAACGTGCCTACCAAAGTAGCGTCCGACGCATAGGTATAATTTACCTATACATAAAAAATATTAGGGGACGCCATGTCTTTAAAATACTACCGGTTTCTTTGACGTTTCTTCCTTAATGCACCGGTCATAAAAACATCACCCCACAAACCGTATACTGTATATTTAACGACATGATCATTGTAAAATGCATAGGTATATTACGAACCTCCCGTCGGTGGTTATGATAAGGAAACAAGTTGAGCATGGTCTTGCATATAATTTTAAACACTAGTGTCTGATTGCATAAAAGTTCTTTAAAAACGCGTAAGAAGAATAATTTTAAATTATTGTTTTTATACTTTGTCTTATTATATTAATAATATATATATTGACTCAATATTGGTGTAATGCATAATTTATTAATTCACTAGCAGATTGTATTTACTATGTAATTTGCTTAATGTTTGCAGGTGGCTATTACACTATCGAGCAAAAAGGCAACAAGCTCAGGATAATTGCACTTAACTCAAACGCATTCTCCACCACGGATGAAAGCCAAAATGTCGACCCTAATGAACAGTTAGCGTGGCTAGATAGAATTCTCGTGAAGTCATCTAAAAACAAAGAGACGGTAAAAAACCAACTCAAACGTTAAAATAATCAAATACGAAAAACGCCCACGGATAAAAACAATACTAAATCTCACCTATTTTATCTTCATATACTTCAAATTCGTATAACATTTTAATTTTTAACTAAATTTGAATTTTCGCCCAGCTCATAAAAATCGTAAATAACAGTTTATTTTTGGAGGAAAACAATAATAGTCAATACTTCCAAATTTTCGGTAATGCAATTGAAAGTTTCAGAACTCCACTTACTTTGCCGCTGTTACAGGTATTTTGAAATCACTACCGGGGATCGTGATCTTTTCTCCCTAACTCAATTCATGGATAGATTTTTAACTCGATTTTACGTATAATTTACAATGATCGTCTTCCCCCGTAGCTCTTCAATTACTTAGGTGTTGAACCGTCAACATAACATAGTGTTTAATTGTTATTTTATTGTACAGGTTTACCTTGTTAGTCACATGTGTCCGGGAGCCAACGAAAGAGACCCAGACGAGGCACCACAATTTCATGACAAATACAGTGCTAAGTATTTACAAATGATAAGGAAATACGCCAACATAATCGTCGGTCAGTTTTGCGGTCATTTGCATTCGGACACATTTCGAATTGTCTACGACCACAACAGTAAGTAAATTGTAATATTATTGTTATAATAATAAGTAGTAGATAATACAATAGTATAGATTTACATTTGCTTGCTCTGTTTAAAAGTCGTAAAAATGAATATTCTATCGATAGGTTAAAACTTATTTTGACATAATATAAAAGGTTATCTCTAACCTTTTATTTTATTTACCAATAAATGTAAAAACCAAATTAATTAGAGTATCTTCGAACTATAAACCCTTCATAGTATAACTTAAGTTATAACGTTAGTTTAGTGTATCAATGTTTATTCGCAAAGCATTGATATAATCAAAGTATACACAGATTTATGGAAATGTAAATAACATTATGAAATTATGAAATTAACAATATGAAATAACAATACCAAATTAACACTTATTTTTCTTCAGAAAAAAGTTATTTTGATATTCTAGACAAGTTTCTGTTTAAACATTACAGTAACAGTATAACTCTACAAAACTATTTTTTTTTTAATGTATATGAGGGAAAATATTTTTATTAAAAATGTATTAATAGTTACTGTAAATAGCGTACTAACAACTATAATCGGTGCTGTTATTTTTTTTAGGTTAGGTTGGTATAAATAAACCATATTGCTCTATAAAAGAAAACCCATTTCAAATTGCTAACTTCTGATAAAAATCGACACAGGTTTTTTTTTGTGTAAACGCGGATTAACTAATTAAAGTTGTGTGGTAATACTTTTTTATTTGACGATACATTCATATTTTTATACATTCAATTGTCCCTTAAATAATACTACTACCTTCTTTCATTTTTTTTTACATCTGTTAATTAACAATAAGGTCAAAACTAATACCATAATATGTTATACGACAGATTTATTATAGTAGTAACCATAATATATGTGCTTAACCAACCCGGTCGATATTAAGTTTCACATGTCAACTGTAAATAACTAATATCGGTCCATGATCCTTTCGGACCCACATACATTCACTAAACCGAATTGAATTACAAACGACACCATATGAGGTATACAATTGTGTAATATAGATATTGTTTTATAAGCGCATAATAATAACAACGGATTTATTTTATTTTACTTCCGATTTTATTTTAATATTTATTTGCTGTAATCAATAAAACACACATAATAAATATCAGTACGAGTAAGATGTTATTTTTTAGGCTATTTGACTTCGTTGTAGGATAGATGCCTTGAACAAATAACATCTGTGTTTCATTTTACTTATATTTACCCTAAAAACTAATGTTTAAATGTCATATAATACAAGAAATGTCTTAAACATTCTGTATTATTTCAACATTTTTCCAGTTAGGTTTCTACTCTCTTGTTAAATTATCAAAATAGTAGGATAACTTCCTAATATTTTTACCATTTAAAGGAATGATTTCTTTCCTAATGAAACCCGTGTAAAACCGTGACTACATTTGTTGTATAGCATTTAATTTGGAATGATCTGTAATTTTTTTTTTTTTTTTAAGTATATCATTTCTTTGAAACTAAGAATTATTAGAAGTTTATTTTGTAATCTACAATGATACAACAACATAATATTAAAACACCCTATAACTCAGGTCTTATACACCAACTCATACGTTTAAATTAGTGTCAACACAGCATACATCGTCATAAAATCAATAACTCCTCAGGTTTGCATAGAAGTCAAAGTGGTTTTCGTGTTCTTTACCTAACTGCAAAGGCAAAATTCGTAGTTCTTTAAATCAATTATTTAGTTTTCTTTCGACATTTCATAAGTAATTTTGTTGTTGAATAATGCTCACTTTAACTAACTCCTGAATTCATAATTTAAAACCAGTCATGCCTAATATCCAGTACTATTTTTGTCTACATCATTCATCGGTCATTAATAATATTATACTTTTGTTATATGCATCCAGCGGTATTACTTAATGAGATAGTGATAAATTTAAACCTAAGTTATTTGTGATAGTAAAAATTCGGACTAAACAAATAAACAATTATTTTTGTTTTCAGAGAGACCGTTATCGTGGATGATGATGGCGCCTTCGTTGACGCCTAGCAAGTCGCCAGGTGTATCCAACAACCCCGGTCTGCGGCTCTATAAATTCAACACCAACACTGGCCACGTAAGAACGCTTACCCAAAATAACTAATATAGATTTTCGCATTTTAGGCAGCAGCCACTTATGTCCGGAAATATTGCTTGTAGATTCTAGATTACACACAGTACTACATTGACCTGGAGACATCGGCCAATGGGGACCCGGACGACTGGAGGGTCGAATATAACTTAACACATTACTATGGATTGCATGAGATCACAGCCAGGTCTTTGCACCAAGTAGCAGAAACGTTCCAGTTGAGTGATTCTCCGGAATTCGACAGGTAAAATCTTAACTAATAATCGATCATTTCAAAAAGCGTTTCCATGTTTTATTTAAATATTTTGCTTGTTTAGCTATTAATAATAACACGGAAGATGAATTTAAATAGAGACCCATTTAAATATAATGTTACATCGTCAGATTATTTACAAAGGCTTTTTGAATAGTGAAATAAATCACTACTGCTACTATGAATTGTTATTTTGTATACAACCGCAATAATTTCTCGTCCAAAGAACTGGACAATACTAATAGCATGCGATTAGCGCGGTGACATTTGCAATACACGCTCATGGCTGTAGCGCGGCTTCCCCACACTAGAAAAAATTCAACTCTGTTTGATTAAAAAATTGACAAATCGTTGATACTTATGAACTTAATACTTAGTAAGAAATACTACCATTAGACATTAAAACATTTTTTCGGAAGTCATATAGATACTAGATATACTTTGGTGTCTTTGTTTTTTTGCGATTGATGTAGTTTTAGTGGATACAAAAGTTGAACGAGTTAAATTAGAGCAATGGAAGGAGGAATCAGAGAACAATAGTTTGAGAAATAGCATGTTTATAACAGAGTACTAAAAGTTTAAGTGTAGTAATGAGAATATTTGAGGAGGAGACAGAAAACCTATTCTAATGTGTAGAAAGAGAGAAAAATTAGTTGACCTACCATGTTTGTATGTAATACGAAGAAGAAGAAATCATTGTCAAATAGAGCTTGTACTGACAAATTTTGTGGCAAAGCTTCAGTGGAGCTTTTCTCGTTGATCGTTGTAGATCAGTATTTTTATTGTGTGTAAAGCAACTTACAGCGATATGGTTCCATATAAATATTAGACACTTGTTTCGAGGGTCTATGCGGAATAAACGGTCAAAACCCGTTATTGTTATTTGTATTTACTGTCAGCCCAATCGATTACGAATACAATGTAATCTCCATTAGAGTTGGATACCCACTTCAATCTCATGCGACCTTGACCATTCACTAGTGCACTTACTACCGGCAGTGAAAAGAAAAGTGCTTCGTGTTTTTCACGGGTAATAAACATATTGTTAACAACTTTCATAATTTATACTCATCATAAAAACGCACGCCATACATGCATTTATGGCAAACATACTAACTCCACTGCTATATTTCTGAACAAATATAATTCTGATATAAGGCCATGGCATTTAAACGTTGGCAACATGTATTTTACTCGTACTCTACAAAAGACACTATTTAGCAAGAGGCTTATTATTATTTAAGGCATGAAAAATAAATCTCTAATTGTGTATAAATTTGATTTACATACATGAAGCAAAAACCTACTAAAAAATATCGTCGAAGAGTAACACACACTGTACATAATAGCGTCGTAATTTTTGGACAACCGATGAAAAGCTAATAACAGTTTACTAACATAATATTAAATTTTATGTTTTTCGGTTTTTATGTTGATGAAAATAATAATTATGAACATTTATCTATCTTTTAATTTTTGAAATATGCAATTCAAAGTAAAGCTTTCCGCTAGGGCTTTTCGCTGTCCGGAGGATCTTGTCGAATTCTCAGTACCCGACCAAAAGCTCTACAGTAATCCATCAACTAAATAGAAAACATATGTTATAACAACATCAGATACTCACTTAGCTATTGAAAATATAGTACAAAAACAAAGTATTGACAATCAAATTGATGACCTGTCTACAATCAAGTATTGTTTGTCGACACAACTTACATATTAATTTTAACATTTTAAGTATATAAAATTATGGTTTTAAAGGTAGACATTAATAATAATGAAAGATAATGATAAATAAAACGATAAAAATATATGATTCAAGTATAAACAAATAAATTCTCTTATATTCTAAAACAGCGTTTCAATAGTATTTTATCAATTTTATTAGGATAGATTTTTTTAAACGCCAGGACTTTAAAAAAATTATAAAACATATTTGTTGAGAAAATTAGTATTAAATAAATATATTATGATTATGAAATAAAACTGAACTAAAACTTTAAATAAAAGAGTACAGGGAAAAACATGGGTATTTTTTCTCAACAATTTTAGGAGAAGCAAGGTAATTAAAATTAAGCTTGCCGCACTAATGCGTGTAGGTACATATTTATTTATTTTTTAAAGTGTAGTTTATGTTTTTGGACGTTTACATAAACAAGGCGAAGATTATCCTAACGAAATCCGAACTTTTATTTGCATTCAAGTTTCATCTTAAAATATGTAAAGCTAACTGAAATCGATTTATTCATTACCTGTAACTTTATACATTCCGTTGCGCAGTTTACTGAAAATGTCACCACCGATTTAAAGAACATTTCATTGTTGACTTCGAATCAAGTTTCCAAACGTCGTAACAACTTATTAGTTTATTTTTAAATTTAAAAAAAAAACCATCAACGGAACTTTTCAGTAGACTCTTAATGCATCTCGCGACTGTTTCTTTTTAATAAGATGATTTAATATTTGAATGTAGCAATTATTAACACAATTAAATGGCAGACAACATTAAATACTAAAACTAATAGTTGTATTCTATAGAACAGTAAACACATCTAAATAACGGGAGTTTTATTTTATTTATGGACGAAAATATAAAATATTGTATATTTTATACGAATAGGTTTATCAGCGTGAGAACCAATAATAAAACCAGGCCTTACACCCTAATTATTTATTCGGGTTCATGTTTTTGAAAATGAATGAACGCAATACTCGGATTTGTATGCTGTTATTACGAGGTTTGTTATTATTTAATACTAGTGTTGAATAAAGTACCGTTTCAAAAAACTATAACTAAATAATGAAAAATATAAATTAACAAACCAAATTTATTAGAAATAAATTAAAGCACGATATTATTTTTTTTATTTATACAAGTATATTTGTCTATTACAAATCATGTTACAAAACGTATATCACTATATATCAAGAAAGTTTTTCAATAGAACTATTATTATTATGCTTTATAGTTTAAACTTTCAACAATTCTATTGTGCTGTACACTTAGAAGTAAGAAAAATATCGTTTAGTGTGCTTTATGCTCAATTTTTCAATACTGACTTATTCTAACAATTTTTGGATAGCATAATGACGTTACCCGTATTGTTCCTTAAATTTCAGGTCCTACAATAATAATACATATTCTGATTTCATGGTAAACTCCATACTATTATCTCGAGAATATCTGTTTTTAACAAACAACTTTTTACGAATTCGCATATGATGCGAGTTTCCAATATATTATCTAAAAATAAGCTTTCCAAGGTTTTTTATCACGACAAAACGTCAATCTTCGAAACGCAGTTATTTATATTAGCGAACATAAAAACAGACTTTAGTTTTATTTGTAAACTTAACAATAAGACACAATTTCAATTATCGACTAAAATTCCAGCCATCTTGTTTCACCATTTTGTTTTGTTTTTACTTTAATTTTTTATCTCTACAGGACGTTTTTCCGGGAGAAGAATATACTATACAAAATATTCAGCTTACATGTTTCACATACCACATTGTATTGGACTGTTGAGTAAGAGACAATAATCTCTCTCTTTATATTCCATACACATTTCATCGTTTTTGACGAAACATTTTATAGTAATTTTTTTTTTTACTGACATAGAAAATCAAATATATCGATTTCAAGAAAAATATCAAAATGTTATGAGAATAATATGTACATAGTAAATAATTGAATAATTAAACCCTTAACCATAAAAATTATACACTATATGGGTACACATATTTCGGCAGCAATGTTGTCATCAGCGCTAACGACCGACTAAGCTGGGACAGTCTGAAAGGAACATAATTGAATAATATATGATTTATATAAAAATAAATATGGTATAATTTGTAAAAAATCATAACTCTTATAACTCATTCTAAATTACTTAAAACGCTATAACTTCACGATTTGTTTTCTTATAATTTCTAGTTATAGGAAAAAGTATATTCATAAATAATACATTTGAGCTTTTCATTCTATGAACTTTGGACGTTTATGCTAAAAACCCGTTGTTTTAAACAATTTTAAAAACATATATTGGTATAATGATAGTAAATATGTGTAAAAGTATTTATTTTACAAATTATAAATATTAATAGTTATAAATTTAGCCAAATATTTTTTATTAATAAAGGCTATTAAAAAAAAAAATAGTTATAAGCAACTGTATTCCTTTATAATATTTTATCATAACCATAAAATAATAATAAAAATTAACCAAAAAAAATGTGACCAAAATGTCATACGAGAAATACACTATTTGTTTTACTTATGAAGCCTGTAACTCTCAAAGTATTTAAATAGCAATCTTGAAACTTTGACACATATTTACTATGCTTATACTATACTTATGTGATATTTATTTAACATTAAATTCTAATATAATATGTATTACCTTATTGTTAAACTGTACACAAAATAAAATAATTTCGATCCTGACAATACTTAGTAAAAAGGTAGAAATTCATATACAAAAAAAATCACAAATATAAAAACAAGGTTAAGGTAATTTATTTATAATTAGTTTGCATCGCGTGTATTACAAATACAACTTTTATCAATAACATTTTATGTATACTAAACTGCAGCAAACTTGCTTTGTATTAAAACTAAATTTGTATTCAATAGATATATTTTTAATTAAAAAAAAACAAAGCCTATTGTAACGTCCAACAATAAGTCGAGTAGCAATTGGAAAAGAGTATTTCAAATTCTATTACTTCTAGTTATATTATATCAATAATGCTGGGGTGAACTGCATAAAATATGCTAGTGAGTTTTGAAAAAAATACTTGACGCCCTTACCGAGTTCACATTATTATTGTTATTGTACTCCTAAAAGAGGCATCTTTGTTCACTGTGCATAATTCCAACTCTACGCGTCTTGGAATACTTCTATTGTATGAGTAATATTATGCTCGTTTGTATTTTAATTGTACGATATTTTTTTACCCCAAATGCTTTAGTTTGTAATTATTTTTGTTTATTTTATTAGCGCGAAAATATAGATATTACTGAATTAATAGTTCATAGAAAATAATGACAAAACATAAGCCATTCAAAAATTTAAATTCATAAAATTCCAAATAGTGTAAACATATTATGGCAAGGGACAATAGGAGATCTTTATGAGATAGGATAATAATTCTAAATATTTTAAAAAAGGTGTTTTATTTATGAGATAGGATTACATACACCAAATAGTACTCTGGGATACACCTGGTTAAATAGTAATGAAGGGCCATTAACAGAATGTGAGCGATGGTATTCCCATCTATCAGATACATCAATAATTGAACATTATTTGCAATGTGCCTGCGTACAATGAAAATCGACCTCATCTTTTGACGACAAGATCAATAGTATTATAATGTGCTGTTCATGATTGATGTTAGCTTTTTGAAAATGATACGTACAAAACCATAATATATTTTACAATTAATTTATATTCTATTGTGTTTCAAACCATAAGTTGTTTCCTTAACTAATTAAATTATGCAAAAATAAAACAGTTTCACTTTAAATGAATCGCTGTTATTGGATGGAAATGCAAACGTTTGAATTCGCCATTACTATATTGGATTTATTATTAATCACTACAGTGTTACCAATTGGTATATTATTATTGGCCATCTAATAATATTTTTATGGTATTTTTTTAATTTTATTTTGACGAACAATATTACGTTTAGCAACTTTTGTCGATTGACATAAAGTTTTTATTGAAGTGAAACTTCTTTACGAAGGGTAATTTTGTACGAGAGCATATGATTTATATTAAATTGACAACCGATGAGTATACCTTATTGAAGAATAAAAAAGAGTTGAGAGAATAAAAAATAAAATTGTTTATTTTTTTTTACCCAAATAAAATGTATTCCTTGTTGACCTTCTTTGTTTGATTGATTTTCAATATTAATGATACATTCGCGTTTTGGTTTCAGATACTTCGAGGCTAACTCGGTGCGATTACGCCCATCGAAAGATTGCAACTTAGAGTGCCGGCGGATGCACTTTTGTGCAGTAACCGAGCTAGACTATAGTAGGTTCCATAGTTGTGTAGAAACGGCAGCCGAAGCACTTTCCGTGTCAGCGTCGCCGCCACACGGTCACGCTCTGTTTACAGCGGTTTTGTTGGTCGCCATTGCGTTGGCTCACCGCCGTCAACACAACTAACTGTCACCCGACCATTTCCTTTTTAAAGTCAAAAAATAATATAAGTACACAACAACAACAGCGAAAACAATTATGTAAGCAACCAGTGAAATGGATCTCGAAGAGAACAAGCTCACACTTTGTCCGTCCGGACATCCCGTTTTTGTTTGCTTACGACTCATTGTTGTTTTTAAAAGATTCTATTCTTCGTCAAGTGTATGCTTGGCATTTTTTTAATAATTGCTTGATAAATATCAAATATTCTACGAGGTTTACAAGCTATTTTTTTCTTGCTCTACATAAAATTTAAAACAGACGTCATTTTGAATGGTTCAATTTGTCCCGATTAATAATAGTAAACTATTTATTTAAAAAAATAATCAAATAAACGAAGAACCTTTTTTTTTATCTAACCAATGTCTTTAAAACACATGTAGTTACTTGCAAGTTTTACAGTAAATTATAAACGTTTCAAAGAATGGTGCTTTTATAGTTGTTCATGGCACATTAATTAGGTGTTTTTCCAAACAATAAATGACAACAAAAATTTTTGGTTTATTAATAATTATGTTATTGTAGCAATATTCAAAAAAATAGTCTTATTTTTGTTATTTATAAAGGATAACATTATTTATACCACAAAAAAAATACAAGTCCGAAGATGGTTCAAGAACACCCTTTACTTTTGACAAGCACGTCGTGCTATTGAATTAATACAATTTTGTACTTTTCAATTAAAAAAACCGGCTGTAGGCAAACTTAAATTAATTCCCAACAACTTAATCGAAAGAAATCCAAAAACTTTTTCTACATAATATTATGTTAAGCGAATTCATTTAGACCTCAAGTAAATAAAAAATGAATGTTCAGGTATTTTTTTTCAGACCTATTATATAAAATATATAATAATAATATATATATTAAATAATAATTACGACTGGATATATTTCTACTCTCTAGTTAAAAATTCAAATTTACCATTTGAGAGCTCAAAATACGTTTGTAACGAATTTTACAATTCGTAAAAATGCAAACTTTTAATTTTGCAAACCTAACCGGAATCCGCGTAGCAATTTTAATGTATATTACTATATACGTAATAAATCATATTTTTTAAATTTCCAACGAGTAGAGAATAATCAATGAACTTTCAAAATTGGATAGTAAAAATAAAATCGTAATTTTTTGATAAAAATTTCAAATTATACTTATTTAATAACTTGCAAACTTTTGTGAAGGTATAATGTTAAACATTTTGTGACACAGATTGAGATTGAGACACTATATTACAATACTATAGTTAGCGAATCTGTATTTTTACTATAGCAACCTCTATATTATCAAATATATTATATAAATATATATGTCACCTTGTTATTATTGTCCCATTATTTAGTATAGTTAGTTAGTATTCAAATTAATTAAAACTAAAATGTATGTACACGATAATCCAACAAATCAAAATTTTTCTACAGTCTTCCCTTTTAAACATTTATAACATTCCTCTCCGGAGCAAACTAATTTAATTTCTTACTTTATAACAACATACAAAAAATGTATTGCGATACAAAACCTAACCTAACAATTTATTATTTAAGGCCAAAATACTTAGGATTGTAAACTAAATATGTCTTTGGTTTATAAAATAATTTAAAGTTATTTAGACGTTACTCATGTACATTTACTTGCAAACTGACATTTTAACTTGAAATGCAGTCAACATATTATAATATGTAAATAGTTTACCATTTGTACTTTTAAGAAGTTTAGCCATATTATATTCATATTTAACCGAACCCTATGTGTTTGATAAATTGATCGTTGCCCATACCAATTTTATATTTTAAAGAATATTATGTATATTATTAGTGTTAAAAAGAAATGTAAATTGTAATAAAATAATACTATAATAATTTTGATTCAGTAATAGTGTATTTTTCTTTAGAAGTATTAAATATATTATAATGTAAAATAATTTTGAAAACTTTTAATAATAACAAATAATAATATTATTATTACTATATGAAGTAATCTGACGCAGAACAACGGATAGAATATTTATTCATACAAATAATATGTTTGTGTATAAAGCCAGTACTTTTCTTATTAAGGACTACAAACAAATGTCATAAAACTATTTTATTGTATATTTATTCTTTCCGTTGTTATTAGTTGTATTTAATATATTATATTTAAATAAACATTGTCTTATTCAAGAGTGATCTTTTTTTATTAATGTTTATATTGTTTTGTGTATAATATATTATTGTGCTTTTTATGAACTACTTTTAAACAAATATATCGATTTACCAGGACGATTAATGTCATTACTTCTTTCATGAACATTTCCAAATTGGACATTAAACATGGACATTGCTAACCATTCTTTATACGAGTATCTTCGTAGTTTTGACTCAACAGAAAAGTAGGTACATTTTATAAGCATCTAGATAAACGTTAAAATTTTAAAAAAACTATATTGTCCCAGAAAGAAGGTTAAACCCTCTAGAGTCTACCCTTAAATCCCCGTCTGGTTGTAGTTTATTTTTAGTAGTATATTAATAAAAATTCGACAATGAGGTAAGAAACATGCAAAATAAATGTTTATATTATTATTATGTAGTGTATTGTAAAATATTGTACATATATTTTTCAAAATTGGACCAATACATAACAAATCTACAAGTATAACATATGACCTATTACATATAACTTCCGTAGAGGTCAAAGGTTTTTTTTGGATTTATTGTAACAGAACGTGATAAAATTACTTTCAAATAAACTTTTTTATGCAAATCTGTAGATGATCTGTGATTTAAAAATTGTTTAAAGTTTTATGAAGGCAAAAATGCGTATTTCTCTATTATTATGCTTGATCATTTGTCTTCCCTAAATTTTCGTTGCTCTGTTTACCAAAGGGAAAATTAAAAAATAATGAAAATATTTTTGGGATACCTGTTGAGTGTTGATTGTCTTTTAGCAACTTAGAAACTTATTACAGTTAAAGTATAGTTTCAAAAGTTTGACCACAGTTCTAAAATTACACCTAAAAAAACCATAAAAAACTCTTGAGTGAGGAAGTACAATATGATTACATAAAATATTAGCAAAATTAATTTATTTAATATACCAGGTGGTCTATTTTATATAAGACATTCATTTTCTTAAAAAATAATGTGAGTGTATTATTTAAAGGTAATTAAACATATACGTTCCTATTAAGATATATGTGTTATACATTTTTGAACTAGCCACTATGATAACAATTTAAAATAAAGAAACTTACAATAAATTATTGGATTTTTTATCGTCCGATTAACGCACCTTTTTTATAACTCCCTAAAAAGCGAGATTGTTAATGGTCCAAATTCCGAACAAGCAACAGTCATAATAGACACCACCACCTGGAAACAATTTTACAAAAGTATCTCTCGCCAACAGAAATTCTTATGTTAATATTACAACAGCTGCCGAAGAAACCGACCTAATTTTTAAATATATTTGACATTGTTTTTTAGAAGAGAATATCAAAGAACTAAAAATAAAATATACAATGTAACTTCTACTACCAATCTGTAAGAGCATATGTTACTATTCTGTTTCCATTGGTTGTTTGGTTTATTTGATTTTTTTTTTTATTAATTATAGTTAATATAATTATATTATATATATAATTATAATTAATTATTTATTAATTATTAGTTACAACTTGCAATTATTTGCCGATTATGAGTTTAAAAACCTTGATCAAGCGAAACAACTAATAATTATTTGTTTGTCAATCAGGAATCTCAACGTGGAGATTATAACAAGATGCCTTATTCTTGGAATTATATGCTTAATACTTAATGTTGACGTAAAGTATTTTAGCAACTATAGAAAACAGTTTACCCTTAGTAATTAATAATCTTACTATTTGATTTGTATAGTAGATATTGCCAAGTTCATTATCCCTAAACTGACAATGAATGGTACAAATCATTTAAACTATGGCTAAGCTTATAATACCCTATTGCAGAGTATAATATTATTAATTAATATGAATTCCCTAAACCCTAATAGAATCTTTTAAAAAACATATTATAAAATGAAATGATTATACTACTGACTACATCTTTTAATTACATGATAAAAACATGTAAGGGTTTTCAACATATTTGTGTCAAACATTTGCTTAATATTTTAATAATAAATCCAAGAATTTATCTAACATTAAAATTAAATATTATCTTTCTATTAGTAATTTAAAAAAAATATATTTTTAATTATGGTTTAAACATATTATTGTATAAAATGTTTTAGTTAATTTACAGAATATGCAAACATATTTTTTAAATCGTATACACTTAGGTAGGCACTATTTGAAAATCAATAGCAAGCGCTATAATAATGTAACGGAAAATAATTACATTTGCATTCATTAAATTATGTTGTAAAACTTCGAGTGGTTAAATATTATTATAATGCATTAATGGTTTATTACATTAGTATCATAAAGTATTATTAATCCAACATTAATAGAATAAAATATAGTACCACTTTTTTATCGAATTTATGCCAGAAAATAATTCTAATACATATTAACATTCAATGTAATAGTTTTAATTAAGTTGTTTTGATCTTTATTTTTATTAGTTTCCTTGCAAAAATTATAAAGAACCTAAAAACAATTTTCGAAAATAAAACCGTCGAAAAACTTTAAAAGGAAGCCATATCAAAATATTTTTAAAACGTTTTTATTTTTAGGTCTTGTGAAACTGTAGTTTATGCTAATAAATACATACTATATTTTATAGTATTTAATAAACTATATTTATTTTACAAATTTGGTCATGCTGACTAAAATAATTCTAATAAATGTCTTTTCAATTATTTGACATTTTTTGCCTTAATTTATTTATAATGTGCTAAACAAAATTTCTCTATTTTGAGTTTATTGCATTTATCGTACCGAGAAAAAATATTTAAATATTTATATGCCCCGCTCTTTCATAAATCATTTATAATTTAAATTTGAGATGTTGTTTTTTAAATGCCAGCAACGCGATTAATATTTAAAACCTTTCGGATATCAAACAATAACAATTATTATGAATAATGTTGTACTATAACAATTTTGTTTTCCATTTAGTAATCGCTATTAGAGTTTTGAGTACGAAACGTTGTAATACCTATACAAGTATAAATATTAAGTAATATAACAATAATAAATTGTATTCTAACGGCTTCATGGAATATGTAAATTTTAACATATTTCAAATAGAACCAAGTACTGTTGCGTTACGTCAAGATATAAGTTACATCAACAACGAGTAAATAAACAAACAACACATTAGTGTATAGCCAATATCTTTTCAGTATCAAGGCTAACACTAATAATAACGGTGAAGGAAAAATGAAAAATAATAAAATAAAAAGGTCGAATTCCATTGCTCGGGAAATAGCAATTTTCTTCCATTTTATTTTTCAACGAAACCACATTATCTACAGAATTTGTTGCGCATCACATGACCGAGTAAATAAAAAGTCCATTTCCCCGTCCGGTCCTCCCAAAAGGCCATTAGGGCCACGTACATAGGAATTAAGAGTTTTATATTTTGTGTTGACAGTGGTTATATATATATATATACTTGATAGCGTACCTTTAGAGACCAGCTCGCTCACACGTACTCACGGGTGCCATAAAAGAATAAGGATCCGTGGTCCTGGTGATCATTAACGTTACCAAAAAAAGGGAACGACCGTCGATGGCGCCGGGGAAAAGAAGTCTGTGTGTGTGTGTGTTTTGTGTATGTACTTGTGTTCGCGCCACCATACAAAAGAGCCTTTTCGTGTCGTCTGTCTTCGCCTAACTATAAGCCGGCGGAGGGACATTGAAACGCACTTTTTGAATACCTTCTCTTCTTTTGGCAATCCGCTATGCCACATCACGAGAAGCCTCGGCTGTCGAATCCGTACGCCTAGAATAACAATTTTTTCAACTATGTATTAAAAATAAAAATAACAATTATAACATAAGAAATGGGTAGACGAACTTATGTATTGACTTTCAAATTTGAACTCGGTATATGATAATAATTGATACTACCGAGTTCAATAACTCGGGTACTCCAGCGATACACATTTTAGACATTATAATATAATATTATCATAAATTTAAATAAAGTCAAGTTGAAAAAGGTTTTTAATACGCCATAAATTAGTAATGTTTAAAACACACTTTATAATTATATCACACATAGGTGGTTTAGGTAATACATTCACCTGACAAATTAAGGCAATAACTGTGGCTTAAAACACATATGGCACTATTTCCTGCGTTATAATAAATTAATATATTACATTTAGAATAGTAAATACTACTTAATGAATGGTTTTTTAATTATTCTTCCGAACTACTAGCTTATGGTATTATTGTAAAAGCCACGGAACTTAGTTGTTTTGTAAATGACTATACTAATATAATGGAATACCAAATCAGTCGAAACGTAACACCACAGTTACTCAATAAGTTCATCGGCCTTTGGGCTTTTATAGGTACATATTTGGTATTAAGAATTATTGAATTTTCAAAACATAATCGTCAACATCATTACTAGAGACTTTTATCCACAGCCAAACAAAAACCCACAAAATGTAGATTATAACCCGTTTAAAATGTAATGCCCTATCGGCAATCGCTCAATGCAGTGCACTTAATATAATAATCGTAATGATACAATATAAAATAAACTATTACGTATACGCAATACAAAAATCTAACAAACAGTAAATGTATGCTTTACAACGGAGAAAACAACTTTATGGTACTTCTCACGTTATAAA